TGAATTGCATATAGGTGAACCAAGTCTGTAGGCGTAGGTGGTTTTACGAAATTCCGTAAAACAATCCCGTTATTGATATCGCTGTAAACGTGCAAACCGATTTCGCAATGAATTTGCGGTCCTTTTGAATCGTTCGTAATACTGGAGCTATTCAAACCGACCAGCCTTTTTTCTCTACGTGAAATTGTGAAAAAACATAAAAAATGCTATCAGGTTTATATCCTTCATGGTATACTGGAATAATTACCTCTTCACAACTTTTAGTCCACTACATTATTAATTTTGTTTAAAGCAGTACTTTCAAACTGAAGAAAATACGAAAATATTGGTGAAGAATATTAATAAAAACTGAATAAAGTTTTGCACCAATTGCATTACTCCTTTGACGAATAAATCTGCAAAAGTTTCAGAAAGAGAGGCTAATTAAGTTGGGCGTGTTCAACATTTTGATCAAACCGTCTCTACGAAAAATGGTACAAACTTCTGAGATGACCTAATAATACTAATCGACACGTTTCAGCCCATGGCCAGTTGCCATGGTCCCTTTGAAACTCCTCGGAAAAAGCAACTTCTACTTCGCGAGCTCCACCCGATCGGCATCCCGACTTCCTTCTTTTTCATCTTCTTTCGTAGCATTGCATATTTATCAGTTCTGCGAGTAGCCCACCGTCGCTGAACGAAATCTTAAGCGGATGGTTCGTTTCCCCTTCTTTACCCGTGGCATTTTCGAGGGAAACGTTTCGTTCTGCTTCCTTTTAACGACACTGATTCACTTCCGCCATGCATTAGCGCCGAGCATTAATTCAGACGTTAATTAAACGTGGACATTAATCATGGAAACATTATTCGTGAGGAGAATCGTGGGTATTTTTAGGTAAAAGTATCGTATAATGGTAAAAATATATCTTTGAAAAAATGGAAATTTTAATTTATGATTTTTATGTTCAGTTTTGTAAATATTTGTTCCTTTATAGTTTATTCATTTTCCTGATTTTCATAGTTGTTTCCTGATTTCAATACAAGTGCCATTTTTTATATCTGAATTGAAATATAAATTTAATTTCTTTTTTTCAACTTTTTTTCTAACGTTTCAACCTCAAATATATTAGAATCATGACACAACCCTTACTGCACCAAATGTACCTTCGTAAAAAAAGGAAGATTAATGAACAACATTTAGCACACTCCGCTGCTATAAAACGTAATTTTGACTCTTATTAAAGTCAAACAGCAACATTTTTTAGTCGACACACCGCTCGGAACGGTGACTACGCTGGATTTGGGAAAAATAAACGGAACGCTTGTAATTTGTAAAGGAGGACGACTTCTCGTAATTTTTACTCCTGTTTGTCCACTTACGTGGAAAGTATTCCACTGCACGTGGACTCGCCCCATAACCGACACATGTGCACGGCATTCAGTAGAGTTTTCATTAAAACTTTATGAGCTTGATGTTCGCAAAAAATTCTCATATTAGTTAATACTTCTCCGTACATAAATAATAAACTGTTTCTCTCACTGTCCTTTTCAACGCAGGATAAAACTGATGGAATTTTCAGCCGAAGACACAGGAATCATAATTAAAAACTGGTATGCATATCTTTTTCTTTTTCTTTTCAAGCATCTTCATTTCGATATCATTAATATACATGTGTATAACACATTCTCTCAGCCTTCTCGAATAATATTCAACTGCACGAAACGAGCGGTGAGCGAGCATTTAATAACTTCATTTTATGGGAGATACAATTATGGGAGAATTAATTTCAGTTGACAAATATCAACAACGAAATGATAGAACATTCGAAATTATCGTGCTGGGGTGAATATATTAAAAACTTCAGAATGTTTCTTTATAATTTAAACCGGTAATTATGAAGAAAATTCCTTGCTTTTTTTGGAAGAGTTATTATCTTCAAATAAATTACCATGATTTACCCCCTGACAGAATTTTTATTCAAGTAAAAAAAAATGAGGAAATTTCTTGAATATAATAATTCTTTAATATAAAGTCTTTAGATGATGTTTTCTTGAATAAGATGCAAAAAACATTGAAGCTGTATCTTTTTGATAGAAGTTTAAGGGTTCTTTGGAAGACACCTACACAACTTGTGTAACAGAGTTTCAAGAGCCTCATGCAAAAATATTAGGTAAACTATCTTGAAAAGGTTCTTACGATCTCTTTTATGTTCTCCACCCACTTCGCAGCACTTTGGAGATACCTCGGGGGAAGAAAATTTGTTTCCCTTAGATATTAAGATGATTATTAAGATTAGAATGCGCCGAGAGTGCTCGTCTTATCAGCCATCGAAAACTATAAAACTCTTCCTGGTTCAAAGGTGGACTTTCATGTGCTTCAATGAATTTGACTCAAACTTTTTTTCATACTTTCAACACTGTTACGAAATATGTGGGTATAAAATCGTGTATGTATTTGCAATAAATCTCATATCAGGGATACTGAAGATATTAGGGCTCTCTGCATGGTCCGTTGTTCAAGGGTTAAAGGGTTACGATATTCCTCTGAAGTGGGACAGATCCCAATTTTGGGATGATTGAATTAAAATAAAAATAAGAAATTATTTAGAAGCTTCAATAATCACCCCATAAAAAATTATTTGCAGGAGAATGTTTACATTCTCATTCCCTCGATACCATTAATATTACCAACTCAATTTGCCTCTTGGTATCTGAACGTGTTCCATTCATCAGGATACTCCAGCAACCAGACAACTTCATTGGCCGTAATCAGAAACCGACGGCAACTAAACAAGAGATTATTAATTTAATCAATATAACCGTATCGGTACATTGCGATCGAATAATTAGGATAAATCGATACGAGCATACTCATTGAACATCGGTGCATTTTCTGCGCGATCGTTAGCAAACTCCGGGAACAATGGAAAACGGACGAGTGGCGAAATCAGGTAATGCATAACATCGTATGCCATACGCAGCATATTGAATTATAAGTTCGCATCAGCCGTGGATCAAACGCAGAATGCGTTTCAATGCACAACGTTCGCCATTTGTGTGGGCGTCGAGTAGCGTTCTACGTATTATATTCGTTCGGACATGTCGAACGGAGAAAGAAGAGGAAAATTAAACGAAGAACAAATATGTGTATGGGAATGTGAGATAACGAGGGAAAACAAAGAGAGGAAAATGTGGATCTGAACAGGTAGTTATATAGGGTGCTCAGTGCATTTATTGCTTTGTCACTTTTGAGGTATGTGTGGTTTGCTGATAAAAAGTTAGCTTTTCAAATAATTGTGCTAAGTTAGAATAGAAATAGGAAAATAATATGAAATTCAAAAAATAGGATATGTACATAGGAAAATAATTGCAATTAAAATTTCTCATTCCAAAAAAGAAGAAACGTAAAAATCATGAAATCTTGAACACCCTATAGATTCTGAGGAATAATCAGCATGAAGCCGAAGTGTTCATCGTTCCATGGAATTGGCCCCTTCCTGACCGAAATACAAACTGATGAAACCTCCACGAAAACCAATCGATTATAGTCCCAACAGCGTTTCGTTGGGTGCTAATGTTCGCGGCGATGCTTGACGTGCTCCGATATTCATCGGTTACCATTCTTCCATCGGTCAGATTGCAATAGAATTAAAGACTCAAAAATAATGAACGTATTCTTCATTAGCGAGTTTGCAAATGCAAAGAAAACTAAAGCAGTAGTAGAGAAAGAAATAAAGAAAAGAAGATAACAGACACTGTAAAATGGAAGTAACTCAAGCTCGAATTCAGGCATTCGTAGTTTATTCTCGTACTTTAATTACCTAGTTATCCCTCCGATTTACATAATGTACTTCGTCCATGGTATTGCCCTGCAAGCGAGAATTTCCAATCGGTTCAACTTCCTCGTGGATATCTAATCAAGAAAGGGTGCTCGAAGGGTATTAATTCCTCAAGGACCCCGATCGTTATAAGCCATTAGTAAGAACTCCTTTGCGTTGATCGTGAGCGGATTTAAAATGCGTTTCTTAACGTGTCCTATGGTCGTGAGAATCTGCAGCTATCGTAGAATTTCTTTTCACTTCACTAATTACTCAAGATTTATAACGTTAAATGAATCTAAAATGTAAACTACGACTCGTATAACTTAGTGCAGTCATTATACAAGTTAAATATAACTAAATAAAATAAATACAAAAATAATTTTGCAATTATAAAAATAAATATGCAATTAACCAATAATAATAATGCATCATAATCAAATAACACACTTTTAAGGTACTTGTCCTATCCTAAATAAAAATGTTAATTACACTAATTAACATAATGTCAATTTTTCAAAACGTCCGACATCTCCCCCATAATTACCCCATACCTTTCAAGCGGAGTTGAAAGCACAGTGTTAAAATTGATAGATACATCCAGACGGAATGAAAGAAAACCTCTTTCCCTTTCACTGTCTTCGGCAACCTGTCATTAGACACCGACAGCCTTGAACCTGAACACTTGTTGCCCGCCGTTAATCATTCTCCAGCCTCTTGATGCCAGTCGGACAGGTGGAATTTTTAAGTAGAAAGGATACACGGCTTTCCCTTTCGTCAGTCTCGACGGAAAGGTCGTGCACGCAGCGTCTTTGGCGAATTCTGAGGCACGCGCGTGGGATAGGAACGTCTGCGGGACAAGCTTATCCTATCCCCTTGCTTCGGCCTAGAACTATCCCACGCTGTTCGAAGAGATCGTGACTGGGCGATCATAACTTGAAAGTAGTCGTCGTACAACGAACGCGGAGCGGGTTAACGAGGCCAGCCTGCTAGGGTTAATGGGTTAACAGGACAGTGAAGCTGGTGTATCGTGGCCGCGTCGCCCTTAATTCACCGCTCGTGGGATCGACTCTAAGGAAAAAGGGGGGAACGAGCATGTTCCCTGTGTCGTTTGCCTCCCTCTGTCGTCTGAGCTTAAACGCGCTGGTGGCCGGTACTTGTACTCGAAGAGTTCCGGTGAAAAAGGTTCGCCGGCTATGGTAGGGTAACTTTGATTGGATGATCCCTGGAGGATGAAAGAGGCGAAGAACAGAGCAGACGACACTGGCCGGGATCTTAGTAAGAAACTTGGTAGGAACTCGAAATCAGGGAAATTTTTGAGTAAATTAAGGAGAAAGCTCTAATTAAAAAGTAATTTTCTATTTCAGGTTAAATAAATATCCTTGTATATATATATATATATATTTTGCAAGTTTGGATCACGATTAACCCAGACTCCGCTCTTCAAGGTTCAACACTTTACTAGGGTAATTCTCATAAAAATTTCTATTTATTTTAGATACGATAGGCGTGCGAGGTGGAACGTTGAAAAAGAAGATCAGAGGCGGTTCTAAATACGGAATGAAGCGGAGAGTCTACTGGAATCGAGTCGGCAGAGGGTGCCGTAAGGGGTGACACAAGTGACACCTCGTAATACCGGGACCTGGACCGACGCCAGTTTGCATAAGAAGTGCACATCCTGTACGCAGCCGACGAAGCCGGTAACTGTGTAGCAAGCACCGTTTCCTCCGTGTGCTATCTACTCGATAGTCAATATTACGTGACACAACACACTGCTACGTGGCGCGCACTCTCATCCCTGACAGCTAGCGGCGTCGTGTGCCGTGCCAGCGAGCCATGGTAATGGAATATTGTCATGTTGAATCTACGCTAGATATCGCCTATGACTTTCCCTATGCGTGTCTCTCGGCGGCGAACTGTTAAACGCCGAGGGAAACCGGGACTCTGCCAAAGGAGAACGGAATTGCGTTTACAAGCGGAGAATAATGTATCGTGTCAGTCAGACAACTCGATATTCCGTGGGCTAACGGAAAACGAACGAACGGTTAACGTTCCTTGGATATGTCGGAAGGCTTATACGAGAAGAACGTTTGTCGAGGGGGCTACTTTAATCGTTGATTAATTTTCAATCTTCCATTTTGCGAAGAGTAGGCACATTAATTTGTTTATTTCGATATTTTTTCCTGACTTTTCTTTTTAATTTATTAACGCTTTGATCGCTATGTTAATTTGATTATTATTATATGGATGAGAGAGCTATCGCTAATCGAAGCTGGCCGCTAATCGAACTGCTGGAAGCGCAAAGTCATTTTGTCGCGTTCCAACACTCGTGGCAGTCCGACCAGACGACGATGGGCACGAGTGGAATCATATTTATTATCTCTCGGTCTTGTAACAGCGGCAGACTGCAGGCGGTATTCAGTGTAGGTACAAAGTACCGATTACAGAATTCACGGACCGTGTTATTTATCGACTATTGAATTTCAGATCGTAGATTTTCTTCTCTAATTCATATCTAACCGGCGATGCTTATAGCAGAAACAAATCCTTGCAATCACGCTGAACGATTATCATAAGGGTACGGGGCTCGGGTTATGCTAGCCGAGTAACGGAAGGATCGATCTTATCTTTTCTGCCGCTGTAACCCCGTCTAGCCGGCCATTCGTTACCCCTGTCAATTGCCACTGTCAGTTAGAATTCTGTTGCGATCTCGGCTATACCGTGATTTCCGGATCGACGAGGAAAACCGGCCGGAAGCGTGGCTCGCGCAACCCCTTTTCCAGCCAATTGTTTCACGGACAATTGAAAATTTCAGGCACGCGTACCGTTTCGTGACCAGTCGCGATAACGAGGAAAAGGTCTACGACAGTTTATGGTTACGGGGAAATTTCAATCGTAAACTTATCGCCATGAAAGGGTTAAATTTCACTTTGTTCGATCAGCTTGCTGCCACTTGGAGAAGTAAGCGATTCGAAATGAAGCAAGTTCTGTAAGGTTGAAATTTTATTACTAAATTTCTTTTTGATTATTATTAATACTTTAGTGATTAGGAGGTTGTTAACCCTTTGACTGCGACGCGTTCTAAATGGAAACCATGAATACCCATGGGAAACGACGAAAACTCGGAATGTCACCTCTTTTACTGGGGAAGACTGATTTTTTAATCGTGGGTGTAGAAAATATTTTAAAAAATTTTCAGGTATTTCTCTAGCACATTTAACGCAGATGTTATAAATTTAAATATTTCTCATTTTAGATGGCAACTGCAGGTACTATGGGATGCTGTGTCAAGTGCAGTCTGAGCTGCATACAATTTAGAGGAAAAAATATTTTAAATAGATATCACTTTACATATTAAATGCTACAAAGTCAGATGAAATTTTAAATATCTCTGCGCAAATAAAAATAAATTGAATCAATCACTGTCATATTATATTTCCTAGTCCTACTGTTCTGAAACCAACGGTACATCAAAATTTTGATTGCCCATAAAAAATGTCTTGTCCGAGGTGTTTAAAGACTCTCCGACTGCATTCCACGAGTGAACCAGTAAAACCTCAACCCTCTAAAGTGTGCACTAAATGTCTCTAGTACAGCGTGGCCTCCGTTAAACGTCCAGCAGTCTAGGTCGATGAAATTTTTATGGAAGCATCGGCGTCAAGGCGACAAGTAGAAAAGACGGTAAAACGATAACGAGCAAAGGACGTGATATAATACCGGGCATCGACGGTTATCGATGCTGTAAATACCGTATTACAAGGAATATTTAACGGATCATTAAGCAGGGATCGCGCGTCTATAGGTTATATAAGGTAGATCAATGACTTCGTCCACGTCCAAAGGGACGAGGCAGACCGCTTAAGGCGAAGCGCGAAGAGTCGAGCAACGCATAGTGATTTCCGATATAAAACAGTCGGGTAAATGCTTCCTGTTGATCGGTACGGGACCATCAGCAACGTCATTCCCGGCCAAGATCTGATTTCCACAGGCAAATCGTCGCTGCGTGCGTCCGATGTCGGCAGGAATGCAACACGATTTACGTTTAAATGATAGGTATCGTTAGGGGAGCGAGCAAGCGTGCGGTCGCGTGATGATCGCGAACATATTCCATTTTCTTCGTAATATCCCACTTTAGTTCGATTCTGTTGCAAAATAACAGTGACAAGAACCTGTTCTATCCTTGATGGGATAACATTAATTAACACGCGAATGAGTTATCGTTCGATGACTCTGTGGTACACCTGCCCCTCGCGCCTTTTACCAATGAATATTAATAATCGTGACGCGATTCGATCCGAACCGACTCGATTATTACCCGACCCGACCCGACCCAACCCCAGGCACGAGTTTCATTCTATATAAATAAATCTATTCGTAGGTTAAAGGGATCCATGCAAGAGGCTTTTAGATGAAATATCTCAATGCCAGAGACAAAACGGAGTATATCACGTAGGATAGGCGGTGATTAATCACTTCACCTCCATCGGGGGCCAAAAAGCTCCGAGAAAGATCTTGGACCGTGTTGTCGGGCGCAAAGCTAATTGCCATCAATTTCATGTCCCCCAATTCCAAGTTGGACGTCATTAAGACCGAGTGTTTTTTGCTAGACTCGCATGTTCACATTCCACGATGTTACTTGGATAAATCGATCCGATCGACGTGGAGTCGGTCGCAAAAAGCATCTGAATGCTCGCCGAATGATTGATTTTAAGCGACCCGTCTATTCGAAAGACTTCGTGGAACTTGGAACGTAATCAAGCTAAATAGCGGTCTAATGATGGTGCAATTAGCGTACTGAAACTTGAACAAACTTTATGACGAGGAGACTAGCGAATGACGTGAACATACCACACGTAATCGCAGCGCGGAACACGTAACGTAATGTACGGGCAGTGTGGTTTAATGCGGTATGAACAATAGGGTGTCGTTGAGGAATATGAGAGTTTGCGGTGGCAAAATTTGTCAATATTCATCTTCAACCCATTTTCTAAATTTCCAATTTTCCAATCCTATAAGTTTCTATATTCCAATTTCCTAATTTTCCATCTTCCCCAAAAAGGATTATATCTCTATAAAGGTATTTCTATCGTATATCCTGGTGGTAAAATCTTGAAAGATCTATTGCGGTAACCAAAGTTATCCGATAGCAATGAAACAACCAACTGCACCCCCTGAATTCGCTGCTTTGCTCTACGAACAGAAGAATACACACTTTATTCCCCGTAGTCGCGAGAATTACCGTTTCTCTTCCTCTCCCACGACTTTCCGCAGTTTTATAGACACGTTTCTCGCCTGGAAACTCTTCTTCTTTTATGCGCACTCGATTTCGCGAAGTGCACGCTCGATGCATCGATCGCTAACCACCCTTCGCGAAACGTATTATTGGATCGAAGCATCGACGCGGCTCGTGATACGTTTCTCTACGCCGGGTTTAATGCTGTGCGTTGCCGGAAGGCGGAAAGAAACTCGACAGGGTTTCCTCCCTTTGTGTCGCGCGCTCTGTTCATCCTTTCCACCAGCGCAGAACCCCACGCGGAAGCATAATAAAATTTCCGCTGAGAAAACGGAGAACGTTGCGACAGACGCCGAGTGGAATTTCCTTGTCTCTTCGAGATGTTGCACTATTATCACGATTTTCTTTCTTTTCAAATAAGCTTGCGTTCATTCTAACGAATTCATTCTGGTTATGCTTGTAGATGGTATCTCTGTTTATAAATAGAAGATTTATTTTTCTAACTTTTCAAAGCAAATAGATGAAGAAATTCGAAATATTCATTAAATAACTTTGATAAATGATCCTTTTTAAAGTGGATATTCAACTTCTTAGGAACATTCATGATCGGGGTTGGTTAAAAAAGAAATGGAGACGACTCGAAGAGTAAATGGGCGTTACAAGATCGTTGGCACTCTTCCCACTATGAATCGCGATATCTGCGAAACTTTTGAAGTTGTCTCGTTCCCTTGGGGCGGAGACGATTTTTCAGCTTTCGCCGTAAGTAGCGATGGCCATTCAATTCTCCTTTTCGTGAGTTCTCAAGCGATTTCAGTCATGCAAAGGGTCGAATCGCGCTCTAAATGCCGGCCGGATCTTCGGCCACTTGAAAATCTTGAAAATCTCCTACCACTTAAACAGTCTCGACGAATTGAAGGAACTTGGAAGTTCAGAGGATCTTGAAAATTCGACGAAACACTGAAATTGCTCGAGAGCTTTGAACGGTATGGAAATGACCAACTTACTTGTACTGCCGGATTCCAAGTGAAAGAATTTACAAATTAATTTGAAATTAAATGTTCGCGAGGTAATAAGAAATGGTACCATTATACTATATTTATGCAAATGCATATGTTTCGTATTCCATTTGATTTGCATACTTTATATTTTCTAAGGCAAAACAATATGAATCTCATTTTCAAAAAACTTCTATTTAAATAAAAGTACTCGTATTCCAAATTTATTATATAAAACCTTATCTTCCAAAAATTCAAAATTGTCAATTTCTTCCCAGAAGTTTATTTTATTAATAAAATTAATCCAAAAAACAGCGTCACTTAAAAACTTCTCAATTTTTGTCTCAATGATTTTTCCTTAAAAACAGACTGAAACACCTCAAGCTAAAGTAGGTACATCGAAGTATCCAGGAGTTAATTAATGATCACTTAATAAGTAATGCGTCAACAGTAAATACATCACTTCTGAAACTACCGTTTGATTTACAGCAATATAAATCGTTTTAGTCCATCTTTTAACCATCCACCAAACTCTGTGCTAAATTTACATCGAAGTAGAGCAAATAATTCGTCAAATATTGATGCTATTTAAAGTTCTTGTACTTGAAAGACACCTGCTCGAACGTATTTATATTTTCCAGCAGATTTTACCCTGCAGTAATGAAAATAGAGGTTCGATTTATGACATCTATCAACAGGCTGGTCTTCTCTAAGCATCCAATTTCTTCGTGAAGAAGAAACGTTATATAAGATTTCTCAGCGAAATTGAATTCGCTTCGATAACTCTGTGAATATTGATTTTAATGAAAATTGCTCGAGGCGTGAATCGTGTGATTCCTCTTTGAATCATTCCTATCTCGTTATAATTCATGGGATTTTATGATTACCTTCGGAATTTTTACACACAATGTGCTTATTTCAGATAAACAATTGTTCTTCCATTAATCATGTAATTTATAATAAATTTACTTACACTTCATGGAATATTATTCTTTTGCTCTTTGATACAGAAAATAGGCAGCTGTAATATTCAAATTTTATTTATGGAAAATGAAAAAGATATAATAAATTCAATATGAAATGAAAATAAAAACATTCGAAGGAAAGACTTTCATCCTATTCCTTAGGTTACCTTCGTTTTCTACAACTATTCGACCTGGCACTCTTCGCCCAGGTCCAAACATATTTTTCAGTCCTTTTTATCACTCGTCGTTCCGAGTAAGTGCTTCCTTTTTATAAACCCCCGACCAATGCGAACGTATTCAGAGCAGCACCTAATTCGATGCCAGTCACCTTTTCCAAGCTTCTTCTCTTTCGGTGCAATCCACGTCCCTGAGGGAAGTCGCGTTTACGGGAATCTCGACGGTGAACCGCGACGTGTATTCATGAACCACATTCTCCGTACAATAGATACGTCAGATCGATCCCTGGCACCGGTAATATACTTGTCAGGAAGTGTGTACGTTTCGATCCTTTGATGTGACAGCGATTCGAAGTGAACGAGAAACTGGTTCAACGGGGACAGCCTAAGAGATCTAATGGAGCACGTGATCAAGAAGCACAACAACCTGATGACGGAATTATTTTAGGTATCATGAACTGGATTTAGTAATTAATCCTTTGATAAGTTCTTAAATAATTCACCCTTTAACTATAGGGTGCTTTGAAAAATAAATTATCAATATTTTAGAATGCCATCTTTCTAAACTGAAAAAATAGAAAACAAAATATTAAAAGTCAATTTTCTAAAAAATTCAGCAAGGAAATGAAGTATAGAACGTGGTGAAAAAGAAATACGAAAAGATTCTCCACAAATCATCGAAAGTTGATTAGCCGGGAGTGCATCTTTTTAGAGTGCAAAGAGTGAAAAGTTGACTTAAGAAACTTTCAGACTGAGAAGCACTTTATGGATCAATTATTAGTTGAACGAACTACAAAGTTGCATAAACTTTGCCAACTTACCATCTTCTCTTGCTTAACTTATATACAACAGCTCTCTTATACGTGAATATACGACATGGATTATACCTCTTGTAAAGATCAAACACCGACATAAATTAAATTATAATATTGATGAAATTTTTATGTCATTATTTTCATTAGACAAGA